CTTGACCATCTCCACCTTAGCACCAGTTTTGCAGACAGGGGCATGCCCTCCATGCAGCTTTCTGAAATCATTGACCAGTTCCTTTGTTTTGCTGATGTGGTTGGAGAGATTGTTGTCTTTACACCATGCCACGAAGCACTCAAACTTTTCCTCTATTCTGTCTCGTCATTGTTTAAGATCAATGGTGGTTTCATCAGCAATCTTGTAAATGGAGTTGGGGCAGAATTTGGCCACACAGTCTTGAGCGTATAAGGGGTATAATATGGTGCTGAATACAGTCTTGCACTGGTGTTGAGGATTATCGTGGAGGTGGTGTTGTCACCTATTCTTACTTATTGCTGTGTATGGGTCAGGAAGTCGAGGATCCAATTACAGAGAATGGAGCCAAGACCTAGGTCTCAGAGTTTGGAGATGAGCTTGTTTGGAATTATGGTGTTGAAGGCAGAGCTGTAGTCAATAAGTAGGAGCCTGATCAAGGTATCCTTGTTATCCAGATGTTTCAGGCATAAATGTATGGCCAGGGAGATGGCATCTACCGTGGACCTGTTGCAAAGGATCAAGATAATTTGGTAGGCTGGAGTTGATGTGAGCCATGACTAACCTCTCAAAACACTTCATAATTATGGAGGTCAGAGTAACCAGGTGGTAATCAATGAGGCACATTACATGATTTTTCTTTGGCACCGGGATGATGGTGGGCTTTTTGAAGCAAAGGAGGATTTCATATTGTATCACAGAATAGAATCATAGAATCCCTACAGTACGGAAACAGGTCATTTGGCCCATCAAGTCCACACTAATCCTCCGAACAGCAGACCCACTCCCCTACCCTCTCCCTATAACTCACATTTCCCATGACTAATCCACCTAAACTGCACATCCCTAGACGCTATGGGCAATTTAGCATGGCCAATCCACCCAACCTGCACATCTTTGGTCTGTGGGAGGAAACTGGAGCACCTGGAGGAAACCCACGCAGATACAGGGTGAACGTGCAAACTCCACACAGTCACCCAAGGCTGCAATCGAGACCAGGTCCCTGAGACAGCACTGCTAATCTCTGAGCCATTCCACCCGTAATATGGAGAAGTTACAGATGTCAGTGAATACTCCTGCCAGCTGGTCCACAAAGGACCTGAAACCATGGCTGGGGGCTCTATCCTGGCCAGTTGCTTTCCGAAGGTTCACTCTCAAGAATAGCCACAGCCCCTAATCTCTTACCTCCTCCTCTGTCTCGCCTGTAATATTGAACTGCCAATCTCAGCCCTCTCTTGATTATGTCTCAGTGATAGCAATTACATCATACCATTTTTAAAAATTTTTGCCTTCAACTCATCTGCCTTGTTTGTCAGAGTCCTTGCATTGAAATAAGTACCATCCAATCTTGCTAAATTACCTTGTGCCTTAGCTGGCCTATAACCTCTATGATTTCTTGACTTCCTTACTTGTCTCTTCTAGTCTTGGTTGTTTATCTCCCAATGCTGAACCTTCTCACTGAAGCCCACTCCCCTGCCAAATTAGTTTAATCCCTTTCTAACAGCACTAGCAAACTTCTCCGCAAGGATGCTGTTCCGTTTCCAGTCTAGATGCAACCCATCTACCTTATACAGCTACCACCGGCCCCAAAAATGGTCCCAATGTTCAAGAAATGTAAAACCCTCCTTCCCGCACTATCTTTCCAGCCACACGTTCATTTGGACCAACCACTTATTTCAATACTCACTAGCACGTGCATTAGATGTATTTCAGAGAATACTACCTTTTGGCTCTTATTCTTAATCTATTTTCTAGCTCCCTAAGTTCTGTTTGCAGGATCTCATCTCTTCCTCTATCTATGTCATTGGTACCAATATGTATCACAATCTCTGTCTGTTTTTCTCACCATTTAGAATGTCCTGCAATAATTCAGTGACATCCCTAACACTGTCACCAGGGAGGCAACATACCATCCTGGAGTCAGGCTTGCCACCACAGAAACAGATTGGATTAAGTGAAAAAAGAAGACTAATGGCAGATATCAACAGCTTAAAACAGTATAAGCCCAAGAGTATAGAATGTGCAAGAGAAACTTAAAAAGGAAATTAGGAAAGCAAGAAGGAGATATGAAAGGATAAGGGCAGGTAAAATAAAGGAAAATCTTCCTCATCCCGCCCCCTTGACCTGTCCGTCCTCCCTGGACTGACCTATCCCCTTCCTAACTCCCTACCTACACTCACCTTTACTGGCTCCATCCCCGCCTCTTCGACCTGTTTGTTTCCTCTCCACCTATCCTCTCCTCTATCCCTCTTCTATCCGCCTCCCCCTTTTCTGATGAAGGGTCTAGGCCTGAAACGTCAGCCTCTCTGCTCCTATGATGCTGCTTGGCCTGCTGTGTTCATCCAGCCCTGCACCTTGTTGTCAAAGGAAAATCTTAAGTTGTTTTACCAAGGCATTAAGGATAAAAGGACAACTAGAGAAAGTGTAGATCCCCATTAAGGACCACAGTGGTGATTTCTGTATGTGGAACCAGAGGACAAAGTAGGGTTCTAAATGAGTACTTTTTGTCAGTTTTCACGAGTGAGAAGGATGATATGGGTATTGAAATCAAGGAGAAGTGCTGTGATATACTTAAATAAATTAGCATAGACAGAGACAGTCGTCTGGCAGGCTTAAAAGTAGACAAACCTCTACAGCTAGGTGAAATGTATGTGAAGCAAGGAAGAAAATAGCAAGATTAGAGGCAATAATTTGGAAATTCCTCTCAGGCCACAGGAAAGGTGCCAAAGGACAGGAGGTCAGGCAATGTGGCCCTTTTATGCAAAAAGGGAACAAGGGATAAAGCAGGAAACTATAGACCAATTACTCTCATCTCACTGGTGGAAGCAGTTCTGAGGGACAGAATTAATTTGCATTTTTTCTTCATCAGAAGTCACCTGACTTGAAATGTGAACTTTGCCTTCTCCCCGCAGAAGGTGACAGACCTGCTCAGTTTTGTCAGCAATTTCCGTTTTTGTTGCAGATCTCCAGCACCTGCAGTTCTTTGTTTTGTTATATTGGATAACCTGGGGTTGATTTCCTTGGAGCAGATGAGATTGATGGCACATGATTGAGATGTATAAGACAAAAGAAGCATGTTCAGCACAGACCGGAAGAAAACTGTCCCCTTTGTGGAGGGTTCAGTGACAAGGGGGCATGGATTTAAGGCAAGGGTAAGAGTTTTGGAGGGTAGGTGAGAAAATGTCTTTTCACTCAGAGGATGGTGGGAATCTGGAACTCACTGCTTGTAAGGGTGGTGGAGGCAGAAACCGTCATACCTTAAAGTAGCAATTAAATGTACACTTGCAATGCCAAGGCTGACAAGTGGCAAGTGACATTCGTGCCACACAAATGCCAGGCTATGACCATCAACAATAAGAGACAATCTAACTACCGTCCCTTGACATTCAATGGTGTTACCATCACTGAATCCCCCACTATCAACATCCTGGGGTTACCATTGGCCAGAAACTCAAATGGACTCACTAAATTAACAGAGTGGCTACAAGAGCAGGCCAGAAGCTGGGAATATGCTGCGCGCAACTCACCTCTCAACTCCTCAAAGCCTGGCACAAGGCACAAGTCAGAAGTGTGATGGAATACTACCCACTTGTTTGGATGAGTACAGCCCCAATAACACTCAAGAAGCTTGACACCATCCAGGACAAAGCAGCCCGTTTGACTGGCACTACACCCACAAGCATTCATGCCCTCCACCAACACTCAGTAGCAGCAGTGTGTACTATCTACAAGATGCACTGCAGAAATTCACCAAAGATCCTCAGACAGCACCTTCCAAACCCACGACCACTTCCATCGAGAAGGACAAGGGCAGCAGATATATGGGAACACCACCACCTCCAAGTTCCCCTCCAAGTCACTCACCATCCTGACTTGGAAATATATTGCCATTCCTTCACTGTCGCTGGGTCAAAATCCTGGAATTTCCTCCCTAATAGCATTGTGGGTCAACCCACAACTGGAGGACTGCAGTGGTTCAAGATGGCAGCTCACCATGACCTTCTTAAGGTCAACTAGGGATGGGCAAGAAATGCTGGTCAGCCAGCGACATCCACATCCCACAAAAATGAACAAAAAAAGACATACAAGACTATGGACCAAGTGCTGGAAAATGGGATTAGAATTGTTAGGTGGTTGTTTTTGACCGATACAGACTTGGTGGGCTGAACGGCCTTTTTCCGTGCTTTAAACCTCTCTGACCCTATGATTCTAATTTTACAAAAGACATCTTCTGAATTCAGAGCAGCACTCCGAAGGCTTGTGATTTTAAATAAAGCTGTTGGACTATAACCTTGTGTCATGTGACTTCTGATTTGTTCATTCCAATCCAACACCAGCATCTCCACATCATATACTATTACTAAACAAAAAACAAAGATCTGCAGATGCTGGAATGTTGAAACAAAAACAGAAATTGTTGAAGAAACTCACCAAGTCTGGCAGCATCTGTGGAGAGAAAGCAGAGTCAATGTTTTGGATCCAGTGACCCTTCTTCAGAACTGACAAAGCTAGAAAATATGGCATGTATGGAGGGGTAAAGGAATAAACAAGAGGTGGAAATGGAGCCCAGAGAGAGAACAGCAGTTGGGCAGAAAAATGGATGGATAATGGTAAGCCAGAGAGAAAGAAAAGTTGATAATAGGGATCATTAGTGGGTGAAAATGGATTGGCTGTGACGAAAGCAGCCCACATCAATGACAGGGCAGGGGTGTGGATATAGGTAAAGGACATGGAAGGAGGTGTTCAGGTCTCAAAATTATTGAATTTGATATTGAGTCCAGAAGGTTGCAGGATCCCCAAGTAGAAAATAAGATGCTGCTCTTCCAGCTTACACTGAGCCCTGCTGGAGCATTGTACCAGGCCTGTGACAGAAATGTTGGCCAGGGAACACAGTGGCATGTTGAAATGCACTGCAGGCATTCTACAATTATTACCAGTATCCTTGCAACAGTAAGTTCATTTACCTGGTTCTGGTGCAGGCTTTACATTTTCATTAATTAGCACGCTGTCAGAGATTGCTACAAATATTTCCACCAGTTTGTCCACAGTTTTTTCAAGATATTTGCTTTTTGGGGCCAAAGTTTCTGCCCATTCTTCACAGCAAGCCTGTAGAATACATAAACACACAAAATGTAAACATTCTACAATAGAATGACAATACTCCATATATCAGTAGCACATTCCTAATCCTTAAAAACAAATGCTATAAAACCAGAAATGACCAGATATTAATGAAAAATAATTCTTATTCAGTTGAATGTTAGAAATCCCATAAGAGTCACTCAAAGAAAAACAATGAATAGCATGCCCATCATTTTGTGTGCTATGCAGAGCATTTCTTTTTCCAGTCTACGTGGACTTCAGGAAGGCATCTGATAAGGTCTTGCATAGGAGAATGATAACGAGGCTAAGATGCCATGGATTCCAAAGAAATTTACCTACTTTGATCCAGAATTGGTTAGGTGGCAGGAACCAAAAGACGATGTTTGAAGGTGTTTTTGTAATTGGAAGTCTATATCCAGTGGGGTTCTGCAGGGATCAGTGTTGGCGCCTTTGCTGTATCTGGAGTATGTAAATAATTTAGACCTGAATGTAAGAAGACTGATCAGTAAGTTTGATGATACAAAAATTGGCAGGGTGGTAAATCATGAGGAGGATGGCCTTAGATTAGGGGAGGATATAGATGGGCTGGTCAGTTGGGCTGATTAATGGCAAAGTGTATTCAAGCTGGATAAGTATGAAGTGAAGCACTTGAAGAGGATAAACATGGCAACAGAATGCATGTTGAATGATAGAACCCTCGGCAGCACCGAGAAACAGAGGGACCTTGTGCATGTTCACTGTTCCTTTCAGGTGTGGGATGGGTAGATAAAGTGGTCAGGAAGACATATGGAATATTTGCCTTTATTAGCTAAGGTATAGAGTTTAAGAGAAAGGAGGTGATGCTGGAACTGCATAAAATGTTGGTTAGGCCACAGCAACTGCACACATTGTGAACAGTTCTGCAATCCACATTATAAAGTTGGGGGGACTGATTGCATTGGAGAGGGTATAGAAAAGATTTACAGGATATGGCCTAGGGCTAGAGAGTTTTAGTTAATGTAGAAAGATTGGATAGACTGGGATTGTTTTCCTCGGAGCAGAGGAGATTGATATGGGACATGATTGAGAAATATTAAATAATGGGGGACATAGACAGAGTAGACAGGAAGAGAAGTTTCCTGGAGATAGTAGGAACTGCCGATGCTGGAGTCTGAGATAACAAGGTGTAGAGCTGGATGGACACAGCAGGCCAGGCAGCATTGGAGGAGCAGGAAAGCTGACAGTTCGGGTCTTCTTCATTTTCTGAAGAAGGGTCCAGACCCGAAACATCAGCTTTCCTGCTCCTCTGATGCTGCCTGGCCTGCTGTGTTCATCCAGCTCCACACCTTGTTATATAAGAGAGGTTTCCTCTTGTGCAGCGATCAATGACCAGGAGGCATGGATTTAAAGTAAGGGGCAGGAAGTTTAGAGAGAATGTGAAGAAAAATCTATTCACCCAGAGGGTGGTGGAAATCTGGAACTCACTACCTGTATGGGTAGTAGAAGCACAAACCCTCATAATATTCAAAAAGTATTTCGATGTACTCTTGTGATGCCAAGTCACACAAAGCTATCGGTCAAGTGCTGGAAAATGGGAAAATAATAGTTAGATGGTTGTTTTTAATCATCACAGACCCAATAGAACGAACAACCTTTTACTGTGCTGTTGATCTCTATGACTCAATGACTTGTTCAGTATCAAAGATAAGGCAGAAGCTTTTATAACAACCTACAGGCAGACGTGCAGAGTGGATTATTCATCTGAGCCTTCTCCAGAGCTCTTCAACATCACAGTCTTCAGTCAACTTGATTCACTCATGTGATAACAAATGACTGAAGAAACACAATACTGCAAAGGTCATGAGGCCTGACAATATCCTGGTATAGAACTGAAGACGTGCTCCATAACTTCCTGTGCCCCTAGTCAAGCTATTCATAGAACATTGAACATAGAACAGTACAGCACAGTACAGGCCCTTCGGCCCACGATGTTGTGCCAACCTATTATCCTACTAAGATCAATATACCCTGCATACCCGACATTTTACTATCCTCCATGTGCCATCCAAGAGTCACTTAAAAATCTCTAAAGTATCTGACTCCACTACTACTGCCGGCAGCGCATTCCACACTCTGGGTAAAGAACCTACCTCTGACATCTCCCCTATACCTTCCTCCAATCACCTTAAAATTACGCCCCTTGTAATAGTCATTTCCGCCCTGGGAAAAAATCTCTGACTATCCACTCTATCTATGCCTCTCATCATCTTGTACACCTCTATCAAGTCACCTCTCATTCTTCTTCGCTCCAACGAAAAAAGCCCTAGCTCCCTCAACCTTTCCTCATAAGCACTGCCCTCCAGTCCAGGCAGCATCCTGGTAAATCTCCTGTGCACCCTCTCTAAAGCTTCCACATCTTTCCTATAATGAGGTGACCAGAACTGAACACAATATTCCAAATGTGGTCTAACCAGAGTTTTATAGAGCTGCAGCATAACCGCACGGCTCTTAAACTCAATTCCCCTGCCAATGAAAGCCAACACACCATATGCCTTCTTTACAACCCTATCAACTTGGGTAGCAACGTTGAGGGAATCTATGGACATAGACCCCAAGATCCCTCTGTTCTTCCACACTGCTGAGAAGCCTGCCATTAACCCTGTCTTCTGCATTCAAATTTGACCTTCCAAAATGAATCACTTCACACTTTTCTGGGTTGAATTCCATCTGCCACTTCTTTGCCCAGCTCTGCATCCTGTCAATGTCCCATTGCAACCTACTACAGCTCTCCACGCTGTCCACAATTCCACCAATCTTCGTGTCATTGGCAAACTTACTAACCCACCAGTATTCCAGTATAGCTACAACACTGGCATCTACCTGACAACGTGAAAAATTGCTCAAGTATATTCTGTCCACAAAAAAACAAGACAAATCGAAGTGAATCAATTACCACCCCATCACTCTAATCTTGATTATCAGTAAAGTGATGTAAAGGGCCGTTAACAATGTTATCAAGCAGACTACATTTAGCAATAACCTGTTCAGTGAAGCTCAGTTTGGATTCTGACAGGGTCTCTCAGCTTCAAGCCTCATTACAGACTTCGTTCCAACATGGATAAAAGAGCTGCCCCTCCAGAGGTGAATTGAGAGTGACTGCCCTTGACATCAAGGGAACATTTGACCAAGTATGTCATCAAAGAGCCTTAGCAAAACCAGAGTAAATGGGATGATGGGGAGAAACTCAACCTTGTTTGGAGCTGTACCTGGCACAAAGGAAGATTCTTGTAATTACTCTGAAGTCAGTCATCTCAGCTCCAGGACATCTCTTCAGGAGTTACTCAAGATCGTGTCCTAAGCCCAACCAACTCTAGACAATGGACATCTCCAAGAAGAGAAAACCTGAAAACCACCCTATGAAATTCAATCATTCTACCATTGTTGGATGTTTCACTATCAACATCCTGAGGGTTATTATCGGCCAGAAGCTTGATCGGACCAGTCATATAAATGCAGTGGCTACAACGACAAATCAGAGGCTATGAATTCTTTGACAGTTCTTTCCAAACCTACAATCACCATTGTCTAGAAAGACAGCGGCAGCAGATACATTGGGACACCATCTGCAAGGTCCTCTTTAAGCCACTCACCATCTTGACTTGAAAATATGTCAACATCCCCTCACTGTCACTGGGTGAAAATCCTGAAACTGTTTTCCTAATGGCATTGCGGGTCTACTAAAAAGACAGCTCACCATTACCTTTTCTGGGACAGTTATGGATGGTAATAAATGGTGTACCAGCTAATGAGGTCAACATCCTCAGAATGAATAATAGAAATAGCCAATCCTGGTCTAACTAGGTGAGTAGACAATCTTTATTGCATGGCTGCAACTATTTTCAAATTACTTGAATGTGAATTACTTGAATACTCGTACGATGTCCCAATGATAGTTTGTAGTATTTAATGCACTCAATAAATATTAACATATTTAAACATCCTCATGATCTACTCTGTCTGTACCTCTAATAATTTTGTACATCTCCATCAAATTCCCCTATCCGCCTGCTCTGCTCCAAGGAAAGCAAACCCAGCCAATCCAGTCTCTCCGCATAATTGAGATTTTTCATCCCATGCAACATTCTGTGAATCACTTCTGCATTTTGTCCACTGCAATCATGTCCTTCGAGAGTACAGCGACCAGAACTGCACACAGTTTTCCATCTTTGGCCTAACCAATCTTTTATAAAGTTGTAACAAAACTTGCTTGCCCCTATGTTCTGCACCCCCACCAAAGAAGGCAAGTATCTGGTATCTTTACTACTCTGTCTACCTGAATTGACACTTACAGGGATTGATGGACTTTTACATAGAGGTTCCCTTGTTCTTTAGTATTCCATAAGCGTCGACCATACAGGTTGTATATCCTTCCCTTATTAGACCTCCCAAAATGCACCACCTCACACTTTTCGGGATTAAATTCCATCTACCATTGCAATGCCAAATTTATCAGTTGATCAATATCAGAATGCAGACTGAGACCATCCTCCTCACCATCAACATCAGCAATTTTTGTGACATCTGCAAACTTAGTTATTATACCTTCTGTATTCATATCGAATTCGTTAATGTACTTAACAAACAGCAAGGGTCCTAGCACCGATCCCTGTGGTATACTGCTGGCCACAGGCTTCCAATTATAAATACAACCCTCTACCATCACTCTGAGCCTCTTTTGAGAGTCAATTTTGGATCCAACTTGCTTTGGATTCCATGGGCTCTTATCTTTTCGACTAGGCTTCCATGTGGGATCTCATTAAAGCCCTTACTAATTCCATGTAAACCACATCAACTGCATTACGCTTATCAAAATATTTTGTCACCTTGTCAAAAAACTATTTTAAATTCGTCAGACAAGATCTCCTTCTGACAAATCTGCGCTGACTATCCCTTATCAATCTTGCCTTTCTAAGTATTGATTAATCCTGTTCTTCACGATTTCGTCCAATAACTTTGAAACCACT